ATGAAGCAGGCATGGAGGAGATCCAGGCCCCAGACCAGGAAAATGGGTCTGTTTCTAAGACACAAGTAAAAAGTCCATTCAGTGAGTGGGAATGTTTGGTCTGTGGTTGACAGACATCTACACCTTTTCTCTGTTTAGTTCTGTTTAAAATCTTTTTTTTTTCATTAAAGATACTTTAAGAGGCATATATATTATAACAAAATTTAAGAAAGAGAGTTTATTTATGACCAATTAAAGCTCCTGAATAAACAGTGTCACCCTCAGTTCTGTAAGGGAATTGTTCTTTAAAAAAATACTTTTATGTGATACAATGTAAAAAAAATACTATATTTTACTCATGAGTGAGTGCCTTAACAGTGAAATAAACTGAATATTTCCTTAACAACCCCACCTCTCTTTCTCTCTCTCCTTCTCACCTTTTCTTCCTTTTTTGCTTTCTTTTACTTTTTCTTGTCACACTTGGTTTGCTTCGTTTATTGCTAGTACCTTTTTTTTTCTTGAGCTATGCCATCACCGGACATGTTGCTTGGGAGACTTCTACTCTGTTTTCTCGACCCCTTATTACCATTTTTATTAAACGTGCTGCAGTTGCATGACGACCGGAATAACAACAACAGACATCCCTGCAGAAATCAGAGGATAACAAGCAGGGGATGTGGAAGTAGAAGGAAGCTACAAGGGAAAAGAAACCAGCCCAGAAAACAGACACTGTCTTGCCTGACCACGGAGAGGCTAACAGCTTTTGTGAGAAATGAGGGGCCCTTCATGTTTGTATTATACTGAGTGTCACAGGAATACATCTTCAAGAATCATTCAAGATCCCGTCACTAACATCAACTGCTTTCAGATGATTCGGGAAGACAGAAATAAATTTAGGAGTGGCAAGTAGAAGGGAGAAGGGAACAAACGAATGGTGCCATCTTTGTCACATTATCATGAAGAAATTTAACTGCAGCTCACATATTCATTCAGCTGTTTTCTGTGGAGTATGACCAGCCGTCTTCTCCTTTTTTAACATAATTGGAAAGGTGAAAAAAATGAATTGACTTGCAAATCACTTAGTGTATTTAATTAAAAATGATACACCAGAAAAGCATAAAAAAATAAAATTTTGAAAGCTATAGTATATGCTTGTTGTGAAGTTTGAATTGCATTTCAAACAATTGCAAATACTTCAGGGATTTTTTATCCTCAGTGGATAATATTTTAAAATTTGAATACACAGTATTGGAAATCACTGTATGGACACAGAAGCACTTCTGAAAATTGTTGTCAGTGAACAGCATCCACCAAAGTGGATATTACACTTTGCAACATCTATAAAATATGATCCAGAAACACTGCTGCCCTCTCTAGCCTCAAGCATATTTAAGACAGGGGGGGAAAAACATCCAGTGTTTGAATTTACCAAAATGTTTAATTCTTTTTGGAAAACATGCCCATCACTTCCTCCTCTCTAAAAATGTGAGGAACTGTATGACTTAATATTAGTGTGCATTTTAAAAGCATGAGTAACTTGCACATGGTTGGCACTGTTAAGGCTGAAGAGTACATACAAGTTATGGAGAAACATATGAATCCCACCAGATGATTCCAAATCATATGCAGTCATACAGATGATGATTTCTCAGGACAATGTCAAACCACATACAGGTACCTCTGTGACGTGAACAACATGACTCAATTATAAAAACAAAAGTAAAAGAGTCAAATTCATATACAAATACATATCAAATCCAATATCAAAATTGGATTTGATATGTATGCATATATATATATATATATATATATCAAATTCAATTAAAGTTTTTTTTAAGTTGTCTTTGACTTTTTTTTAGGTAAATATGGGATTTAGCATTTTGTTCTTCTCTACATTTTACACAGCATCACAGAAACTGGGAGTTTTCATATTACCTTGTTTTTGCTTACATGCTTTTCTAATAATATATTTGTGATGTGGTCAGATATACTGTAGCAATTCTGGATGGATTGCATTCCATTTTTATATATTTGTGCCTTTTCTGTCTTTCCCTTGTAAAGTTTCAAAGCTTTAATATATTTCAGTACTGTTTCAGACCAACTTCTCTTCTATCAGTTAACACTCTTGTGAGTCCCGATTCATTTCTGCTCTGGTATCACTTTGGACTATCAAATAAAAACAGTTAAATTAAAAGTGATTTGTAAAACATCTAGTTGCTGTATTTTGCAGGAGGATGTTTTCATCGTGACAGCCGTTGATTTGGGCCCTTTGAAGAAGCTACGAATCCGTCATGACAACTCTGAGTCTTACTCCTCTTGGTACCTGGATCGTGTTGAAATAGTGGACACAAAAGAGGATACAACGTAGGTGCCACAAACATACAGCCATGTGGGTTTTGCTTAGTTATTCAGCTGGATTCCAGAAAAATCCGACAGCAAACAACAATTAAAGATTTTGTGTGATTAGGAGAGTAAATTAACAACATTATATCTTGGAGTGTTGAACAAAGGTGTTTCTTCTGTAGATACTACTTCCCTTGTAACCGCTGGCTTGCAGTTGATGAAGACGACGGGCAGATAGCGAGAGAGCTGGTTCCCGTGGATGAGGCCTTCATGAGGAAGGATGATGATGATGAGGGCACGAGTGGCACTCTGGGCCTGGAGCAGAAATGTAATGAAGCTTCAAAGCTTGTTTACGCCTCAGTGGGATAAGATTAGTGGAAGACCAATATGACAAGTTTCATATACTTATATGATAAATTTATCCTGCAGCTATGTCTACTACATATACTCTTAAGATAAAAACTGGAGAAAAGAAGTATGCTGGAACTGATTCCAATGTCTTCGCCATCCTCTTTGGTGAAAATGATGACACAGGTGCGATAATTCAGCATCATCCCTGCAGTATGATGGCATCCCTGTTACTGGCTAAATATCAGAATTTAAAAAAATCTGCATGTCACCCACAGGGATCATCAATCTAAAGGCTTGTAAAAACTACAAGAATAAGTTTGAACAGGGGATGATCAATGAGTTCACTGTGGAGGCCGTGGATCTGGGCGACCTGGTAAAAGTTCGAATCGGGCACGAGGACTCAGGTGGGAAAAGAACGTACTGTAAAACAAACAAAGCAGTCATATACATAAGCACTGCACTGTACAAAAAAACTAAACTTTTTTTTTCTGAATCAGGGGGTTCACCTGGTTGGTTCTTGGACTGGATCGACATTGATGCCCCTTCACAGGGTCAGAGGATGCGCTTCCCATGTGGCCGTTGGCTGGATAAAGGGGAGGATGATGGTGCAACTGTGAGGGATCTCTATCCAGCTGACTTACAGACTGAATTCTACACACCATGTGAGTGAACAGCAGTGATATAAGTACTCAAATCCATTAGTAAACGTAGAGTAGGCTTATTGAGAAATCGTCCTCTGAAAGTGCTTTATGCAAAATTTCACTCTGATAAAAGAGCGGAAGCATTAGCAGTAAAATGTATTTTAAAGCAGTCTGCCTGAAGAATGGTGCTTATCAGACCATTAACTCCAACCTGTAATGAATGTTATAAAGCTGCAGTGGTGTCCTGTCTTTTTATTATCGTTCCTCCAATATGAAGGCTTGTTTCTGCCCTTGAAAAAAACATTTTCAATTGGCAGAGCTAAGTCGAAATTTCAGGTTATTTTCCAAAAAAAGATTATGACTTACTCACTCAAACTTTAGACAAAATTACTCAGAATTTAAGTTATTTGAGTGCGAATGGTTGTCTGTGTCTGTGTGTTCAGGGTGTACCCTGCCTCTCGCCCTATGACAGCTGGGATAGGCTCCAGCCTCCCCCGCGACCCTGAAAAGGATAAGTGGAAGTGAATGGATGGATAAAGTTATTTTCTCATTAGTTTGAGTTAATAAATCCAAATTTTGAGATAAAGTTTGAGACAACAGCCCGAAATATTGACTTACAGAGTATAGTTTGTTTTTATCAATATGTATGCAAACTCAACTTATACATTATGATCCATTCATGTCAGTTAGTTTATACAAACAACAAGAAAGAAAATAAATAATATTGCAGTTTATAAAGCGGGCTCAAAGACTGTTATTATGTAATCAATGACGATAATTTAATGCCCTTCAATATAAGGGCATTTTTATAAAGCAGGCTAAAAAGTTCAACCAATTTCAGGATATTATAGTAGCAATTATCTATAGATATAATTTCTACACATGACTTTGTTTTTCATTCAGTATCTTACCAGTTAGATGTTAACTATTTAGGACAGCAAACGTATTAAAAGATCAAATGATTCCTTTGAGTTTCAACAACAAATTAACACTAAAACAGAAAAATGTCATCAGTGACAATAAGCACATTTTAAGCCAGCAGTTATGGCTATCAGCTAGCACAACTGTGATCACTCTCCACAGATAAATAACCACATATACTGCAGGACTTTCTTCCTAAACTTCTTGCTTTTAATTGCTTATCAATGCTTGTAGTAAGGATGGTGGACAGTTATTACAGTTAGATAGTTTAGTCTGATATGTTTTCTGTAAGGCATAAAAGCACGTCTGGTATCATAACTGTAAACGTTAGCTGTGAATACTAATATAGCCTTTCCTAAAATGCAAATGTTTCTTATATAAAAGACTAGATTATATGCCAGCCTGTCCTCCACCTTCATCCATGACAGCCTGGCATGTTTCCCACCCACACTGTCGTTCAGTGAAGAGCAAAAGGGTAGCTCTGTTTTGAGCGAGGGTCTTACTTCTGAAGCACTAAAACCGAATAACAGACAAGTAATCTGTTATACTCGTTTATTTGTGGTCTCTGAAATTCAAAACGCAAGCTTTTGAATATTAAGTTGAAATATACCCACTCCTACATCATCAATATGAGTTAACCATAATAGTGTTTGCTCATCAATAAATGTGAAACCGCCAAAGCAACAGAGTTTCAGTCTTTGACGCATTGACATTTTTTTTGTAGTGTGTCTAATACATCCACAACAAGATTGTAACACCTTGTTTTCTCTTTTTCATGCAGCTTTTGTGTTTTACAAGTCTTAAAATAGTTGTTTTCTTTGCTGACTCTTGGTTAAAAAAGCAAGGAAATCTGAACACAAGTGGTCAGCTGTACATGACACCTGATAAACCGAAGTGTAAACAGTGATGGGACCAGTGTGTGCACGGCTCACAAAGGGTTCTTCCACCTTACCTGCCAACAAAAAAGCTTTTTCATTTTTTTCAGTTGTGCCTTATGAGATAAAGATATACACCACTGATGTATTTGGAGCGGGAACAGATGCTGACGTGTTTATAGTCTTGTATGGCCATAAGGGGGTGTGCACTCAGCAGAAGCACCTGTGTGTCAACAAGAGAGAGCGACGCTTGTGCTTTGAGAGGGGAGCTGAAGACATGTTTATTGTGGAGGTAAGTGTAATGTGTGGCTACTCACTGATAGAGCTTTTCAAAAAGTGGCGGCCGGTTTGCGAATGATAAGTTGTCTTTAAACAGCTGGAGGACATTGGTGATGTTATAGAGAAAATCAGGATAGGACATGACAACAGCGGCACCAATCCTGGATGGCATCTTGACAGAGTGGAGATCAGGCGACAGCTCAGGAAAGGAAAGGTAAGCAAAATCCCCATGAGATGACACCTTAATAGCGGCATTATATTGCCAAAACTATTCACTCACTCATCCAAATCATAGATAAGGTGTTCCAGTTACTTCCATGGCCACAGGTGTGTGTATAAAATCAAGCACCTAGGCATGCACACTGCTTCTACAAACATTTGTGACACAATGGGTTGCTCTCAGGAGCTCTGTGAAGTCAAGCACTACTAAAGATTCCACATTAAACTTTTACTGTTATTATAAAAAAGTGGACACGATTGGGAACGACAGCAGCTCAGCCACAAAGTGGTAGGTCACATAAAACACAGAGCACATACTGAGGCACACAAGGTTCATAAAAACATGGATGAGCGAGTCTGGTGTGAAAGAATTTGATTGTCCTGTACAGACTCCTGACAGCACCCTTCTCATCCAACATCACAAACGCTCTTCTGGAAGAGTAGTCAAATATTCTCATAAAAACACTCTTAAACCTTGTGGAAAGCCTTTCCAGAAGAGTTGAAGCTATTATAGCTGCAACATCATGTTAAACCCTATGGATTAAGAATGGGATGTCGCTCAAGTTCATATGCCTTTGAACGCAGATGAGTGAATACTTTAGCCAATGCACTGTAAGTGCATCGTTAAGAGATTTCTTGTCTGTGGCCTCATTAAATTATTAACAAATTAATAATTTAACATCTTCTGGCTCACACAGTTCATTGAGTCTCAGTTAGAGAAACATAGCTGGTGCCAGACTGAAGAGTTATCTGTGTTTAATGGCAGGGTTCTGAGACGACTATATTCCCTTGCGAGCGCTGGCTAGCCAAGTCTGAAGATGATGGTGAGACGGTGAGGGAGCTTGTCCCCTCAGACATCATCACTCAGAAACTCCTCAGGGATGGGACACTGAAAACAACTGAAACTGAGGTTGAAGATGCTTTGGAAAGTAGGTTGAAAGTAATGTCACTGGTGGAATGTAACTACACTTGCTTTCAAGTGCTCTGCTTAAGGAAACATTAGAGGTGCTTATTTTTATTTCAGCTGTTGCATGGTGAAGATGTTGAACTAGCATGGAGCAATATAAGCCTTGGTAGATTTTGCTTTACAGCATCCTAATATGCTCTTCTAGCATGCACTTTTTCAAAGCTGAAGCTGAGTTTTGAAAGGCTTAGTGGGGAGAATGGTTTAAAGTCCAATTTTGAGACCTTCTTTCAGCTGCTCTCTTTAGGGGTTGCCACAGCCGATCTCACACTATCCAAAGCATCCTCTTCTGTCACACCAACCCTCTGCATGTTGTACAAATTTTTGAGACATTTTGCTGTATAAATAGACATGCTGTGAGACTGGAAACAACACAGTTGGGAAAAAAAATCTATTAGCAAACAAGGTCTGCATTTACCAACCAAAATTTTTCCTCCCTCACAGCTCACACATACACGGTGTCTGTGCGGACAGGCGATATGTACGGAGCGGGAACCGATGCCAACGTTTTCCTCACCATTTATGGAGATTTGGGAGACACAGGAGAGCGGAAACTCGCCAAATCTGAGAATAACAAGAACAAGTTTGAGAGAGGAGAGGTATTAGAGGAGAAGTGTGAATCGTTATGTGATGTTGCACAAAAATAAATCTAAATCTGTTCAATTCCTTTTGCCTTTTAGGTGGATAAGTTCAATATTGAAGCCGTGGATTTGGGGCAGGTGTTTAAGATTCGTGTTCGTCATAACAACTCTATGGTTGGGGCTGATTGGTACCTGGACCAGGTGGAGGTGCTGGATGTGGAAACAGAAGAGGTATACATGTTCCTGTGTGAGCGCTGGCTATCAACGAAGAAAGAGGACAAACGAATAGACAGGACCTTCTACGTCAAGGTTGTGTTTAAAGACAGTGTTTTATTATTTTCTTCTTTGTATGTCAGAATTATTCCAGAAAAGAAAATTGATAGCTGTGTTTATTTTGTGCCTGTTTTAGGGGTATGAGGGTGAAAGAAGCTCTGATCCATATTCCAAAATGATTGCTCAGGCCAAACTGGGACTGGACAAGAATGCCAACAAGAAGAAAAAGAAGAAAAAGGCAGTAGTAGTTGAAGGGGGTCCAAGTAAGGTCTATTCATTGTGTCTCTTTGTGAAATGACGTTTCTGGAAGTGGACACAAATATCAGGAAAAAATACTGAAATTCAACATGATAAATAACCACAATATCAACAGGAAGAATCAATACAAACTTATAGAAATTTCATAAATACAGGTAATATCAATCAGGTCATAGTTCACCCTAATATTTACACCAAATTAACCAACATTAAAGAAATAGGTAAACACAGTGTTTGTGCTTGGTGGCTTTCATTTTAAAGTGTTTAACTTACCAAAGTTACGCCTTGTGCCTGAACTCACTCACCACAGCACTCCTAAAACTGAGACTTTTGGAAGTCCTGCTAATGCAGCTCTGACTTTTTTTTAGTGTGGAAAGGAAAGCAGAGACATTCACAAAATTGTAGTACGCAGACCTACAATTGCTTCAAAAAATGACAAAAAAAAGACAAAAAAGTCAGCTTGGCTCAGACACCTTTTGTAACCTCATCCTCTATAATCCTCTTTGTATTTCTCTACCAGGGATGGTAAATGAACTGGTACTTATGTAGTGCTTTTCTAGTCTAAGTGAGCACTCAAAGCACTTGATTATTACAACCCACATTCACACACACATTTGAGCTATATTTTGTGCCTCTAAGGACTTTCAAACACACACACACGCACACACTTTTTGAAGGATGCACGGGGAGGCAGATTTGAGGTTCAGTATCTTGCCCAAGGACACTTCAACGTGCAGAATGAAGGAGGAGGAGGGATTGAACAACTGACCTTCTGATTAGTAGTGGAACTGCTCTACCTCAGGCAAAATAAATCTCTGGTCTGAAACGTTGCTGTTTCTGTTCTTCTGTATGATAAAAGACACAAAACAAGCATCCCTCTGCTCTCTTTCTTTGGCTGCACATGATAGTATGTGTGTGCTAAAGCACTAGAATAACACTGATGTAGCCTTAATAAAAGAAAAGCATCTACAAACACCTTAAAGGCTCATTATTTAACACAACATGTTTCGTCTAAGAAGAACAGCTGTATGCTTTTACAGTGTATAGTGATGAAGGATTATTTCTTGACTATAAGTCTTCATGCTATGCTAAGGTAAATAGCTGCTGGCTACAGTTAAAAGAGTGCTAACAATCTTCCACCTTAATCTGACTTTCTGTAAGAATACACCTTTCCCAAAATGTCAAACTACTCCTTTAAGATAAACTTTAATATTGTCTCCATCCATATTTGAAAAAGATCAAAAGGTCACACTCAGCCTGGAGCTAGATGATAGTACTAATATTAAAGAAGTAGGAATGTTCTCTGAAGTGGCTGAGACTTCAGACTGAATTTTATATGTGAAAAAAAAACTCAAAGCAGTTTTTCTCTCTCACCCAGTCATCCCTTACCACTTCACCCTGTCCACGGCGATCGAACATGATGCCAGCACCACAGCGAGGGTTTATGTCATCATCATTGGTCCCAATGACGTCGAGACAGACCGGCTGTGGCTGGACCTGCCAGAGGGAAAGAAATCCTTCACAGCTGGCTCCATGGAGCACTTTGTGTGCTATGGAACTGACGTAGGAGAGATCAAGAGGGTGGAAGTGAGAATCTGGGACTCTTTCTGTAGCTAAATCTGTGAAACTGTCTCCTCTCTGCTGCCTCTTCAGATGCACTGCTGTTAAAATTTTAATAAAACCATTCTAGCTCAGCAATAATTAATTCTAGATGTGCCTAGATCAAACAAAAATCAAGTGATACACCAATTCCCTCTCCATCTCCTCTCCCTTCTCTTCCCTCTCAGCTTGGCCATAACGGTGTCACACCAGAGAGCTGCTGGTTGGTGGATGAGCTGTCGGTTGCCGTGCCAACCAAAGGTATCAAGTACATCTTTCCATGTAAGTGCTGGCTGGCTAAAGACAGGGGAGATGGTCTGACTGCCAGACTGTTCAATGTGCTGGACTCCAGCACGATCAACATTATCCGCAAAGTGAGTCACCGCACCTAAAATATGAAGTGTTGGAAAACATTCAGTTAATGTGTTACATAAAAACTGTCTCTGTATCTCTGTGTACCGTATTTCTTTAGGTTGTTTATTCAGTCACGGTTGCCACAGGTGACATTCAGTATGCAGGAACTGATACCAACATTTTCCTGACCGTGTTCGGAGCCAATGGGAGCACAGAGGAAATGCTTCTGCCCAAAAATGAGGATAGGTCAGTTCACAGTGATTACTTATCAATAAAGAAACAGTTGATTCTTTCAGTGCAAATACTGGAAATGTGGGATGCCTGAGTTTAAACAAACAAAATGAGCTCATCAGCACCTTTAAAGCTCAATAATATACGTGTTGCATCTCATTAATGTGACTTAACTATAAAGAAACTTCACTTATTGTGTGGTATTTTGGATCAAAGCAGTGATTTCCTTTATTGGCACTAAGATCGTAATAACAAAGAGTCTGCCATATAAATGCCACAAGCACCACATGTTTCTGAATAAACACAGTGTTTTATGTTAATCTGTGCTGTTGCCTATGGACAAAATTGGACAGGCAGTTTCACTGTTTATGCCGTTTAACCTAAGATAATCTAACCAGCTGCTGTGTACAGCTACAAAGGCATGAAAGTTAAAATGCAATTAAATGTATCTCCAGAAAGGTTAAACTATTTAATTAGCACAGTCATGTCTTTAAATGCAGCTTAATCCATATATATTGGTTCATTCAGGTTTGAAAGAGGGCAAGAAGACACATTTACCTTGGAGATAGATGACATCGCTCCTTTGAAGAAGATCAGAATTCGAATAGATGGCACCGGAAGCCGCCCAGACTGGTTTCTTGACAGGGTAATGCAAAGAGTGTCTGATGCAACACGTCTGGTATTAGAATACAAAATGTAAGAAAGAAGGAATGATAAGAAATCATTTGCAATTACCGGAAAGCAGATGCACATTTTGAGGTAGCACAAAACTTTAACATCAGTTTATCATAAATATTACATTTTACACTCATGTGCTACTTTATAAGGTACAGCTTGCTAGATCCCCTTTTACATTCAGAACTGGCTTGATTCTTCATGGCATAGGTTCAACAAGGTGGTGTATACATTCCTCTGAGATTTTACCCCTTACTGACACGATACCGTCAAACAGTTGCTACAGATTTGTTGGCCCCACAACCATGATACAAAGCCCCCGTTGAGCCAAATCCCAAAGGTGCTCTGCTTGATTGAGATCTGGTGACTGTAGAGGCCTTTTGAGAACAGTGAGCTCATTTTCATATTCAAGCAATCAGTTTGAGATTACTTGAGCTTTGTGATATAGTGTGTCATCCTTTTGAAAGCAACCATCAGAAGATGGGTACACCGTGGCCATAAAGGGATGGAAATGATCAGCATCGATTCTCAGGTAGGCTGTGGCATTTCAATGATGCTCAGTTGGTACTAAGGGGCCCAAAGCATGCCAAGAAAATATCCCCCACATCATTAAACCACCACTAGCAGCCTGAACTGCTGATACAAGCAGGATGGATCCATGTTTTCATGTTGTTTGCAACAAATTCAGACACTACTATCTGAATGTTGCAGCAGAAATCAAGCAAACAGGAGTGGCACTTAGTGTGATCTACTGCAACATTTGACATTTTGTGCTTTCAGAGATGTTTTTCTGCATACCTTGGTTGTAAGTTACTGTGAGTTACTGTTGGCTCCTTATCAGCTCAATGCAGTCTTTCTCTGGCATCAAAAGGCATTTTCACTGCACAGAGAACAATCAGATCACTGGATATTTTATCTTTTTCTGACCTTCCTCTATAAACCCTAAAGATGGTTATGTGGGAAAATCAACAGTTTCTGAAATACTCAGACCAGCCCATCTGGCACCAACAACCATGCCACGTTCAAAGTCACTTAAATAACTTTTCTTCCACATTCTGATGTTCAGTTTTAACTTTAGGAGGTCATCTGGAGTATGTCTACACACTTAAAGGCATTGAGTTGCAGCCGTCTGACTTACTAATTAAATATTTGCATTATTAACCGGTTGAACAGATGTACCTAATGAAGTAAGTAATGATTGTACAGTATCTGTGAAATTATATAAACGTTCCTATTCAGGTAATGAAATGAGGTGGAACACTGAACAGTTTTCACAAGTTAGTAAATTTCACTTCCGTGTTTGGTATATCATTGCAGTGGATGGCGCTGTCTCTAAGCTGTAATTAAAACAATAACTCTTGTGATTTTTAAACCACAATCTTTTAATTTGCTAATTTAATAATGAAGCAATTTCTTTTTTCGCAAATACCGTTAATTAATCAGATTCTTTTCCAGTGGAAACAGATGAATGCTAGGTTAACTTTCGTGTATTTGTGGATTGTTTAACATTTTTCAAGCCACAAATATACATTAATGCATTTATTCCAAAATCACAGTCAATTTTCTCCTCCTCTGCTGCAGCTAAATAGTAGATTTCACATGTGGACATTTGTTTAATGCGAATTGTGATGTCATCATCTGATTTAAAATGTTAGATCCTGATGAGAAACCTGACCACAGAGGAAGAGTACCTGTTCACCTACGAGAACTGGCTGTCCAAGACCAAAGGGCCCAAGAGGACAAAGGTGTGTGAGCTGGCGGCTATGGTGGATGACGAGGAGATGGTAGAAAAAACAACTTACATCATCCAAGTCCAGACTAGTGACGCTGCAGGTGGGTCACAGAATGTTTCCAATGTATAGTCGAGTAATTGCCTCAACTATTAAGAATGTGTGTTTAGTGATTCTAAAAACAGAAAACAATCACATATATTTAGAAAGTTGACCAGGTTAAAGAAACTGTATCAGTCAATTTTAACTTAATTTGTCAGCTTGGAATAAAGTTAAAAAAAATAATAATAAATATAAATATTCAAGTTGGGGGTTTTCTCTAATCATCCCAGAGCCCTCGTTAACTGCGCAAATTTCTTCCCCAAATGAATCAAAATAGTTTACGTTTGTTGAACTTCTATGAGTATTTTACATATTTTTTAAGTGTTAAATAAGACACTGAGTGCTTAACTTTAACAAGCATGTTTACAACTACTAATAGATTTTCTCATAAGTTAAAGTTTATTGGAGTTCTGTTCTCTGACCTTTGCAATATTCTAGGTGCTGGCACTGATGCCAACGTGTTTCTGATTATGTTTGGGGAGTATGGAGATACAGGGATGCTGCCTCTGAAAGAGAGCACCAACAGAAACAAGTTTGAGCGAAAAATGAAGGACGTGTTCAGATTTCCTGATATGCTCAGTCTGGGCGAACTGTCAAAAGTCAGAGTGTGGCATGACAACAAAGGTAAGGAGACAAGGAGAACTACGGTCATAAGTAAGCACATAAGAAAGGAAGGAAAGTTTTAGCACTTTGGAATAATCTGGAGCATCGAGTTTTTGTGTTATTGTCAGAGAATGAACAAGTTGTTTGGAATGGTTGCCAGGAAAAGTTTCTTCCCTCTAAAAAGAAAATAACACCACAACTTAGATTTCAAAAGTTGCATCTGAACATACCACAAGACTTCCGGAACAATGTCCTTTGGGTAGATGTCATCAAAGTGGAGATATTTGGCAATAATGCTTGATGCCACATTTGGTGAAAATCAGATACAACATATCAGCGCAAACACCTGATGCCAACCGTCAAGCACGGTGGAGGAGGGATAATGATTAGGGCTTCACTTGCAGCCACGGGACCAGGCCACCACATAAAAGTATACAAGAGTCAAATGTGACTCTAGAATACTTCTGTCTCACAGCTAAAGTTTGGCCAAAATTAGGTCACGCAGCAATGTCAAGCTACAAATCTCAACAGAATGATTTGCACTCCCCCAGTTAAAAGCTAGGTATATCAACCCAATTGAAATGCCACAGCCTTAAAAGAGCTGTGCATAAGCAATGAATTGAAGCAAAGTACTTTTTTTTATTTTAAATTTTTCGACTCAGGAAGCTAGACAAAATGTCTTACAGGGGTACTTGGAAGATGGAATACCAGAATCTTGCTTAGATACTGCAAGAGTGGATGTACACCATAGTGTTAATGTTAGCTTGTTTACTTCAAATCTATTTTATTTATAAAGTACCTGTTCACAATAGTAGTCATCTCAAGAAACTTTATACTATATATACTTTACCTTTTTTTGTTAAACAATGGAACGGGGAAATTTAGATAAGTGGTTGAGATAACATTTGTGTACAGATGGAATAAATTCACCATTGACTGTTGCTCTTACTGTAAACAGGCCCTGCTCCTGGATGGCACCTGGAGTACCTTGATGTGAAAGATGAGACCCTGGACAACACCTTCAGGTTCCCCTGTGACCGCTGGTTGGCAAAAAACGAAGATGACGGGCAGATTATGAGGGAACTGGCTTGTGCCAACAATGATTCTGTAGACCTCAGTGACAAAACAAGTTAGTTATCCAGAGAGTCTGTTGGCATAATCATGGGTTGTGTAATTATCTGAGATGAATCACTTGCAGTAAATTACAACCATTTGTCACTTGTAAAATAATGCAGCAATTTGTGTCTCTGTGCATGGCCACAGAATATGAAATTGCCACAACAACTGCTAACGCAGATGACGCCTCCACAACGGAAAATGTCTGGATCCTGCTGGAAGGAAGGAAAGCCCGTTCCAAGGAGTTTGTTCTGGAGAATAAGAAAAAGAAGTTCTTAAGGTAGGTCTTCAGAGAGTCCAGGGTTTGCGACTCGTGGTAAAACCCTCTAATGTGGTCTTACATAATTGCCCTCTTTTACACATTTTTTTCTACCCCCTTTTATCTTGTAGCTTCATTTTCTCTTTACTCTCAGGAGAGATAATCCCATGAGGTGAAACAGAACCTCTCAGGCAGACCATAAAATTTAACAGTTTAAAATCAAACCCTACAGAAACGTCTCTTGAACCTTTCCACAGCGGTGCCACTGACACGTTTGAGTTCTCGTCGAAGCACGTGGGGGAAATCGCTAGCATCTGCGTTGGCCACATCACAAAAGACGGCAAGAAGGTGAAGAATGAGGCTTTCTGGCATGTTATGGAGGTGGTGGTGACAGAAAAGGAGCTGGGAAACAAGTGAGTAGACTCTCACACAACATGCATTATGTTATATAAAACTGATGGTGCTGAATCAATGCATCCTCTTGTGGTTAGGTATTTCTTCCACTGTGATGCACAAATTCCCCTGGCAGCCAAAAAAGACCAGTTCCAGACATTCGAGTGCTATAAATCCATCGAGAGCTTTGCAAGCAAAGTCCGCAACCTGGTCCCTGTCAAGTATGAAATCATCGTCATCACCGGGGACGTCAAAGCGGGCGGCACAGATGCAAATGTTTTTATCACCATGTATGGCGTCAATGGTGACTCAGGCAAGCGTCACCTACGGCAGAAGTTTCGCAACCTTTTCGAGCGAGGGCGGACAGACCGCTTCGTTCTGGAGATGCTGGACCTTGGGGAATTGCTGAGGGTCAAAGTGGAACATGACGGCACCAGCCCCAACAGTGGGTGGTATCTAGAGTGTATTGAGGTGACCAACACAGCCAATTCAGTCACAACAATCTTCCAATGTGGAAAGTGGTTGCACACTGCTAAAGCTGATGGACAAATTCAGCGAGTGCTCAATCCCAGATATTAGAATAATGCTAGAAAGAAAGAGTGGGTGAGCATTTGCTTTTTCCTGTTTGACCCATTTGTTTTGTTGGGTTTTTTTACCAATTGTAAGAGAAACATTGCACGGAAAAGTTAGCGTTAATCCATCTGAATATAAATGTATTTCAACTTTTTCAGGATAAAGCCAGTTTTTTGTTTTAGTTTGTTTTGTTTTTTTAAGTTTGTGCCAACTGTTTAGGCTGTCACTCTTCAGAAAAAGCCATTTGCTTCCATCTCGCACAAATAAACAGAACTGAATATTACCCAGCTCACTACAACAAATATTTACCTTCATTTTACTTTTCCTCACGTCTCACTGAAAGGTTTCATACCAGTGCCAATCACTTGAGGGATAAAGGCAAAGCTGGAAAATAGTTCAGCAAAAATAAATTCATTTGCTTAAGCATAATACATGGGCATTGCACTCCAACAGGGGTTAAAATTTTCAGTATGCATAAATTTAAAAACCATTTTGTAGAATAATGGGTAGTATTACACAGGGATCAGGGAAGGCGAATAGCCAATCGTAGCAGCAAAAACAAAGACAACTAAAACAAAACGCGGAATGCTGTTTAACATGTAAATTAAAAAAACGAATGCAATCATGTCCAAATCTCATGAACCCATATTTCATTCACAACAGAACATAGAGAATATATCAGATGTTTCGACCAAGACATTTAACTTCACGACCATCTGCGCCCCCCAGTCTATGTATCACCTTGAACTTAAAAGGCTGTAAGGTCAGACACCAACAGGTGATTCGGGCGTTGGCATCCTGCATGTGATGGAGCCACTGTAGCGGAGCGTGATCCAAACAGAGGATGAAAGGGCAGCTCAGGAGGTAAAAATGAAGAGAGTCAACCACCCAGCAGATTACCAAGCACTCCTTTTCAACTGTGCTGTAGCAAGCATGCAATGGCTGCTGTTTTTTACACCTGAGGGCGCACCGGCCCGCCTCCCAAGTGGTACCCCAAATACTGTACCTCCCTCCGTCCAACCGGACACTTCTTCAGGCCGTGAGCCACACCTGCCTCAGGGACTCCAGGACCGTGGCCACCCACTGCACATGCTCCGCCCAGGTGTCATTGTGGATGATGCCAGCCACAGTGACATCCGGGTAGGCGGCAGCATACGCAGCCAGCGGATGCAGCACCCAGTCCATGAGGAGTTGAAAAATGGCTGGAGCTCCAAAGAAGGAAGTGTGACAAATTGGTACAACCCATAAGGAGTACACAAGAATGCTTTTTCCTGTAAATCTCCCAGTAGCCCTTGGTTAAATCCAGAGTTGTGAAAAACTGAGCAATGCCAGTTCAGGAACTCTTCGACCCGGGACATGGGGTAGGCATCAAACTGTGACACCTCATTCACCTTGCGGTAGTCAATGCAGAACTGTATAGACCTATCTTTCTTCACCACAAGAACTGCGGGGCTATACCACCCACTGTGTGACTCTTCTATTAGTGGAGATATCGTCTGAATTTCAGGAGAGGGACCACTCTTCCTTCACGCCCCCTCCGGCCTCAGGCTATAAAAGCCCCCCCTTCTCCAGTACCTGCTGTTCTCATTTTCATGCCCCATCTTTCCCCCCATTTTCCCCGCCCTTCTCCTCTTCTCCTCTCTTCCTTTCCTTCATTCATTTCTCGTTAGTACACGGGGATCTGCCCGGCTCGAGAGCCATCGCCAGTCCCCTTCGAGGCCTTCCCCAAACCACAGCACCAGTTCACACTTCCTCATCCCTCATCGCCCATCATTACCGAGGATGTGGTCCCAGCTAGTGAACTCCAAGCTTCAGCATTTCAGCCATTTCCCTCTGAACAATTAGCCTTTTATGTTCAGGAAACCTGAAGGGCCATGAACGCACCATCACGCCTGGGCATATTTCAAAATGGTGCTCTATGAGATTGGTATGGCCGGGCAGGAGGGAGAACACATCTGCAAAATGCTGTTGCAATGCAACAACATCCGCTGTCTGGGCCTGTGCGAGATGGTTATCACAATGAATGGAGGATGGAATGGTGGAATTTGCCATCTCTGGTCCTAACTCATCTGTCTCCTTCACCAGAGTCACCAGAGAAGCAATCTGAAGGTGGTAGATGTTGGTCCAAACAGACCAGTACCTACCAGTCAGTCAGTATCTCTTTCGGGATGCCAAATCAGGAGACGACCTGAAACAGCGCCTGCGCTGCACTCTTAGAAATGGTGCACAGTGGCACTGCTTCGGGATATCGCGTTGCATAATCCAACAGAACTAATACACAGTGATGCTTCATTACATCACAGATCAAATTTTGTTGACCGTTAAGTATGGACGAGATACATTGAACGTGACACGTGAAACAAAGACAAAAGGAGAACATATAACATTTGTAGGGGGATGATGAAATAAACATAATATAAACCAAATTCAAAAGAATGTATTCATAATTTATAATAAATATTACAATAAAAACGTTTTTTAACATACAGATTTCATGTTTGTGCAGTCTTGTTTGGATTGGCCCTCCTGTTGAGGAGTAGATAAAGACATACACATAATCACACGCATAATGTGATCATTAGAGTAACATTTTACAGTGTCCCAGTTATTTCTTTATATGTTGATTGTTTTTTTTAAATAAGTGTATCACCACATGGACATTATCTATGATTTTCAGATTTCAGGCAATCTTGGATTGCATAAGAAATACAAAAAACAGAACTTCATTGTCATAAGTAGCTCATCTGGCTTACTGTGACTATTGTCTATAACAATTTACAAGGTATTGTAATCTGTGAAATACAGAAAGAATGCGATATAGTAGGCTTCCTTGTCATTGTGGCTATATTGCACAAACTAATCAGGATGAAAATCCAGTGAGAACAATAAATGTGACCTTGAGCTTGACCGTGAGCACAATATCAACCAATCAATCTTTATTTATAAAGCACTTTTCATACAAAAAATGTAGCACAAAGAGCTTTACATGGTTAAAAGCAGCCCAGCCCACCCCGCCCTCCAACTCACTCCCCACACTGTCATTAACATAAACAATCACGAATACACACATCCCCCCCTCCCACACACACACACACGCACACTTAAAGAGTAAAATTGGGCTGGGTACGCATGAGCCAAGTGGGAAACCCACTAGGTGATCAAATCTGACCAATACTCCAGGAGGATTAGTGAATCTTGTCAGCTGTGGATGGATGGACAGATGACGGACACCTCGCCAAGGCATGACTTTATCGGTCATGCTTGTCTTATTTAGTGAAGATACTTTAACAAGTGGGCAATATATTTGTCAACTAAAAAAAACCTCCACTTTAATATCGTCCTGATTTTTCTTTTAGCTGCTCCCTTTGGGGGTCACCACAGCAGATCATCTGCCTCCATCTCACCCTATCACTAGCATCCTCCTTTGTCAAGCCAGACCTCGGCATGTCCTCCTTCACTGCATCCACTAGCACACAGAGCCTGTTTCAGGTACTCCCTCTCCTCTGCATTCCTGATTCTACACCTTCCACTGTTTAATAACATCTTGATTGCTTAATTTAAAATCCAATATAGTGGTGTACAGAGGCAAGCTTGGAAAGATTGTGCCGTTTTCCAAAATGTGTGGACCCACTGTATGCCGTTACAGATCTGTCTGTGATATGTTGTCCAACAACAATTCATATAGCTTACAGTTCCATAAATGAAATGTTTTTTCTAAATTAAAATGACTCCAAATGACACACGGATCAGATTAGTTCTCAGCATTTTAGGCAGTTTATTTGAAAAACACATACAAAAAGATCATATACAAGACAATAAATAAAAAAGAGACAGAACAGTTTGGGTTAAGCTATGCAACTTTTTGCATCATCATTAGTAATAAATACAGTACAAAATCCACCCAGAGTGAATCTAAAGATTTTCCACAATATTCACTGATCATGTTATTCTTCATTATGATTTAGCTATTGCTTTCATATTATTGATACATACTTCTACTTTTCTATAAAATACTCAAGATCATAAAACATTGCGCGGTTACAGCAAAACAGCAGTGTGTTGTACAAAGATGGCCACTTCCCTTTTTCACTGGCAGGTTAATAATCAACATTTTTTCAGCAGCAAAGAAACATCTGAAATATTCAAGAAGGTACAGCATCATATTAAACACATCTACAGAGCTACTCCCACATACACATAGGAAAACCTGAGAAGGACATGCATTAAAAAGCTTGTGCTTTAAGTTCTACTGTTCATTCCGGTTCATCAGCTTGAGTTAATACTATGGCTACTGTCCAGTTCGCTCTGGAGTTATGGGGTACACTGTGGAGGGCACGGGGTAAGGCCAGTGAGAGCACGAAATGAAATCATAATAGTAAGACCAGCCAGCTTCATTCCAATCCAATATATGTTATAATAATTTGCAGGATTAGTAGAGTATTAATAAGAAATGCACACCGAAAACGTAGTTAGCTTATTATACCCAGGTGTAAAACATCTATATTGTATAACCACAGTACACCAGAAGTTTGCTCAATAAGATCAATGGCTCAAGTTAGCATGTTAGATATACGTTCCATAATCCCACACAAAGCAACTGCCAGCAACAAATAATACAGCTTGTAATGTGGGCCGTAAAGAGAAGCACTAAATTGAGACCCAGATATGATTTATATTGTGGTCAACTTAAAATGTGGAAAAACTAAAATAAATGTGACTGATTATGACAACAGAAGCGAGCTAAGACAAAAAACAAAAAAAAGGGCTGCACCCTGACATCTGCTTTGCATCAAAGCAGGGATGATGTCTAGAAAGTAAAACATGTATTAACAAAGAAAAATCGAGAGATGATATGAATGGAATGTAATCCAGATCAACAGCACCATGCTGGCTAGAAAAAATGTGTCAGGGGAAACAACCCCAGTCGATTTTTCAACAAGTTTCTTTTTTTTTTTATCTCGCCTCCGAAAAAAGAAAACACAGACGGCATGCAAAAGCATCCCCACCGACCAATGCATAATGAGGTATTCTTTTTTTTAATATTTTGTGTTATTTTAAATAAATATATTGATTAAATTGCAAAGTTATGAGATAGAGACATTAAATATTCCACCACAATAGCTAGCTAGCTACAGTTAGTAATAAATAATGATTGTTAAATACT